TTCTTGGCCCAAGCAAGTCTCTTCTTATTATTGGTGTCCTTTAGTAGTGGTTTCTTTGCAGCAATTCGACCATGAAGGCCTGATTCACACAGTCTCCTCTGAACAGTTGATGTTGAGATGTGTCTGTTACTTTAACTCTGTGAAGCATTTATTTGGGCTGCAATTTCTGAGGCTGGTAACTCTAATGAACTTATCCTCTGCAGCAGAGGTAACTCTGGGTCTTCCGTTCCTGTGGCAGTCCTCATGAGAGCCAGTTTCATCATAGCGCTTGATGGTTTTTGCGACTGCACTTGAACAAACATTCAATGTTCTTGAAATTTTCCGGATTGACTGACCTTCATGTCTTAAAGTAATGATGGACTGTCGTTTCTCTGCTTATTTGAGCTGTTCTTGCCATAATATGGACTTGATATTTTTCCAAATAGGGCTATCTTCTGTAGGGCTATCCCCCCCTACCTTGCCACAACACAACTGACTGGCTCAAACGCATTAAGAAGAAAATAAATTCCACAAATTAACTTTTATGAAGGCACACCTGTTAATTTAAATGCATTCCAGGTGACTACCTCATGAAGCTGGTTGAGAGATTGCCAAGAGTGTGCAAAGCTGTCATCAAGGCAAAGGGTGGCTATTTGAAGAATCTCAAATATAAAATATATTTTGATTTGTTTAACACTTTTTTGGTTACTACATGATTCCATATGTGTTATTTCATAGTTTTGATGTCTTCACTATTATTCTAAAATCTAGAAAATAGTAAAAATAAAGAAAAACCCTTGAATGAGTAGGTGTTCTAAAACTTTTGACTGTTAGTGTATATTTATATAATATGAAGTTAAACTTACATTTGCATTTTGCACTTTTGTTAAACCCTGCACAGTACAAAATGATACATTTAGCTGTCATAGAAGCAACCATTTTCCCAGGCTATTTGTATATCATTGTACAAGAATGTTTGTTTCAATGATAAGCTGGAACGTTTCCATTATGTTGTGTTTGAAGGAAACAACATAGCCTTTTTAAGTTACCATAGAATCAGAGGCTGTTTCACCCAGCCACAATTACTCCCATTGAAAATCCCTGCCTCTTAAAGTTGTTTGGCTTATTAGTGGCAGAATAACTTGTTGAAAAGTAGGGGCTCTTGAGTAACGAGAAACACCAGACACATTTAGCATTTAACAAAATCCCATGGCACTGCATGTAAGCCCACTTGAAGAGAGGGAAATGCATACTTGTTCGACTCTGTCATTTGAAGCATGTAACCGTACATGTATTTAAGATCTCCCATAAGACCTAGCGCACCATTGGAATGCAGACCAATCTAGTCTGTTCTCCTAAACGTATGGATTTTATAATCACACCCTCAGACAGATATTATGTTATCTAATGAATCATTCTAAGAAACAAAGAGTACATTAATGCCTTTAGGTGAAACATCTGTGTATTCTATTAAACCACAAAACGGCCTGCTTGAGAACGTATAGAGGCTACCAATTTATGCAGCCGATAAACTGATGTACTCAGACAAGTTATCTTAGACTACCTCATTTCAAATTCAATACATTTAGAAGGCTACCAAATACATCCCACACCTAAGTCAACCATATGAGTGAGTCCATTTATTCATAGTGAGTACAAACCTCCTAGAATCCCTCCTAAAATCCCTCCTAAAACCCGTCAACTTATTCATGGCTGCACTTTCCGTTTATGAGTGACTTTTCCCCAATTCACCCACATACATTTCGTCTCAGTTAATGCTTGGGCTGGGTGGGGTGCACAGTGATTAGAAATCAAACCTGAAAGACAGGCCAGCTTGCCCTTTTCCATTGCAGCCAAGGGTATCATTACTGTGAGAGCGAGAGAGAGACACCTTGTCAGTATTATCTCACTGTGTCTGTTCAGTCGTGCACTTTCCCCCACTAGAACCCTCCCAGGCACAGGGAGTGGTCTAGAACATTTTCAATTAAATGATTAGAATATAGGGGAACATACACAAACACTCATACAGTGCATTCGGAAAGTATTCAGACCCCTTTACTTTTTCAACATTTTGTTTCATTACAGCCTTATTCTAAAATGGATAAAAAATGTTTTTTGCTCAATGATCTACACACAATACCTCCTAATGACAAAGCAAAAATTGTTTTTTAGAAATGTTTGCAAATGTATAAAAAATGAAATATTACATTTACACAAGTATTCAGACCCTTTACTCAGTACTTTGTTGAAGCACCTTTGGCAGCGATAACAGCCTTGAGTCTTCTTGGGTATGATGCTACAAGCTTGGCACACCTGTATTTGGGGAGTTTCTCCCATTCTTCTCTGCAGATCCTCTCAAGCTCTGTCAGGTTGGATGGGGTGTTATTTTCAGGTCTCCCAGAGATGTTCGATCGGGTTCAAGTCCAGGCCCTGGCTGGGCCACGCAAGGACATTCAGAGACTTGTCCGGAAGCCACTCCTGCGTTGTCTTGACTGTGTGTTTAGGGTCATTGTCCTGTTGAAAGGTGAACCTTTGCCCCCAGTCTGAGGTCCTGAGGGCTCTGGAGCAGGTTTTCATCAAGGATCTCTCTGTACTTTGCTTTGTTCATCTTTCCCTCAGTGTGACTAGTCTCCCAGTCCCTGCTGCTGAAAAACATGCTGCCACCACCATGCTTCACCGTAGGGATGGGGACAGTTTTGGGGCCAGTTTTTCTCCAGACGTGACGCTTGGCATTCAGGCCAAAGAGTTCCATCTTGGTTTCATCAGACCAGATAATCTTGTTTCTCATGGTCTGAGAGTCCAGACCATGAGACTGCTTTTGGCAAACTCCAAGCGGGCTGTCATGTTCCTTTTACTGAGGAGTGGCTTCCGTCTGGCCACTCTACCATAAAGGCCTGATTGGTGGAGTGCTGTAGAGATGGTTGTCCTTCTAGAAGGTTCTCCCATCTCCACAGAGGAACTCTGGAGCTCTGTCAGAGTGACCATCCGGTTCTTGGTCACCTCCCTGACCAAGGCCCTTCTCCCCCGATTGCTCAGTTTGGCTGGGCGGCCAGCTCTAGGAAGAGTCTTGGTGGTTCCAGACTTCTTCCATTTAAGAATGAAGGAGGCCACTGTGTTCTTGGGGACCTTCAATGCTGCAGAAACTGTGCCTTGACACAATCCTGTCTCGGAGCTCTTCTGAATATTCCTTCGACCTCATGGCTTGTTTTTTTCCCGGACATGCACTGTCATCTGTGGGACCTTATATAGACAAATGTGTGCCTTTCCAAATCATGTCTCATGGCAAAGGGTCTGAATACTTATGTAAATAAGGTATTTCAGTTTTTTTATTTTTAATAAATTACCAAAAATGTCTAAAAACCTGTTTTCACTTTGTCATTATGGGGTATAGTGTAGAGATTTATGAGGAAAACTAATATTTTTATAAATTTTCGAATAAGGCAACAACGTAACAAAATGTGGAAAAAAGAAAGGGGTCTGAGTACTTTCCGAAGGCACTGTACGTACAGTACAGACAGACAGATGACACACACACACAATGACCTAATCATAATCATGGATAATATATAGCTAGCTATTACACTCGCATCTGTATCTCACATCACCTTCTCTCACTTTCTCCTTTAGAGGACTTATTCCAATGAAATGCTCAACTCGTAATGAGACTAAATTGGACAACTTTATAGTAACTAAATAGAGAAAAGATGAGTTTCGGCTATAAGTTACAGTTCTAAATGGAGAAAAGATGCGTCTCAATTAAGCTAGACTTTTGTAGAAATGTTGAACAAAAGTATACTGTCCTGTCTCCATAAGGAGGCTTTAAAGAGGAGAAATTACATTAATCAAAGACAATCCTGGAGAAAATGTGCTGAAAGCACTTGAGATTTAAGTGCATGTATCACTTTTTCTCCCCCCACACATATAGGATTTATTTAAACAACTATGTCGGCTTCTCTCTCTCTCTCTCTCTCTCTCTCTCTCTCTCTCTCTCTCTCTCTCTCTCTCTCTCTCTCTCTCTCTCTCTCTCTCTCTCTCTCTCTCTCTCTCTCTCTCTCTCTCGCCATCTCTTCCTCTCCCCCTCTCTCTTTCCTTCTCTCTCTCTCCATCTCTTCCTCTCTATGCTCTTCTGTCTTTCCCTTTCTCAACATGTCCTCCTTCCCCCTCTCTCTCTCCCTCTTTCTCTCTCCTTTCCTCAGTCTCTCGCTAGACATTGAGTGAGTGTCGCAGATCCACCGTCAGTCCTGGCCTCATCAGGGCCGTCCATTTAAAGCTAATCATGCATGTGAGTGCGTCAGTATTGCAGGGACCAGCTAGCTCCTCGCTCTCTCTCTCTCTCTCTCTCTCTCTCGCTGAGCTCCGGGGGCTATCTGTGCCTTAACAAGGCATTTCGGCGTGACGATTGTGTTTGCGCAGGGGAAGATGGGAACTGAACAGACATGGATGGGCGAGCTTGATGAAGGAGCGTTTCCCCACATCTCCTTTCAAAAAAGAAAGAAAGAAAGAGAGAGGGAGGAAAGAAGGAGAAAGGTGGGGGTAGGGGGCTTTCTGATGATTAATTATGTTTGGGTTTCCCAATTAAAATGGAAAATTACAGTTAATCAACCTGCCAACTTGGTGTGTTGCGGTGAAGAATGGTACCAACGTTTTACATTACATGTACAGGAGGACGTACAGCATTGAATAGCACTTAAAGCAACATGAATAGTAGCACACACACACATCATAATTCTTCAAATGGAATTCTTATTCAAAATGACAGTACATTATGCACTGAAACTGTAGAGATAAAAAGATAGAAATTGTGCCGTGGGCTAATTCAAACAAATCATTGCTATGCCAATGGAACACAACAATAGCAGTGACATGCTGAATGAACATAGGCCATGAGGGAACTGAGAAGGAGACACTTTCCTGTCCCCATCTCCCCTGGCTGGGCTCCCTCGTGTGACTGTCAGACAGTCACACACACACATACATGTGAACGCACACACAAACATTCATACAAGTGTGCAGGAGAAGGGATGAAAACAGAGGGGGGAGAGGGGGAACAGAGGAAGCAGTGTAACTCAGGTACAGTAAGAGGAAAGCTGAAAGTAAGAGCTGAAATCACACAGGGGAAGAGAGGAAGAGTGAGATATAGGGATCTGTAGTAGATAGTAGCCCAGGCATGCAGTGTGGTGCTGAGGAGGGGATTGGGAGTTGAGGAGGGCCCCAGTAGACCCCTGAGGCTCTGTGCTCCTCCCCTCTCCTCAGCGAGGGGCTCAGGGAGCACTCAGCCCAGCATCTTCCCTCCCACTGGCAATTTGTTTTCCTAACCCACCAGAGCCTGGTGCTACCACTACCACTACCGCTGCTGCTACTGCTGCTGCCCCTATGTCGGCTTCTCTCTCTCTCTCTCTCTCTCTCTCTCTCTCTCTCTCTCTCTCTCTCTCTCTCTCTCTCTCTCTCTCTCTCTCTCTCTCTCTCTCTCTCTCTCTCTCTCTCAGGCAGGGCCCTCTGGGGAGCCCAATTAGGGCCGTCTCCCCCACACGAAGATCTACCCAGGACTCCCCGCTTCTCCTCCTCGTCTTTTTTTAATCAAATAAGACTCCTCTGGAGGCTAGACCTTGTTTTAAGGAGACGGCATGCTGAATTAAATTTTAATTAAGGAAATGCTAGCCTTTTAGAAGACATCGGAAATGAATGGAATTGGGAGGGCGAGTTGAAAGCCACCCAGCGAGCATTGTTGGATGCTTGTCTGTGGGAGTGTTTGTGTGTATGTGGGGGATGAAATGTAAATCATATTATAGTGCCATTATTGGTACAAGTAGAGGTTCATCATTGGAATAATTTGATAGATTATTAATGTCATATCATATTGCATTACTATATATCAAACAGAAATAAAAACAAATCTTCTGTGGGGTAAATATACATTATTTTTCACGTACTTACTAAATATGTCAACAAACTGAATGGACTAATATCGAAGATGGAGGTTCATCCACTCTCTCTACCTGGTATTGTTTAGTTTCACTGTAAATTGAAACGGTATCAAGTATAACCAGTGCCTTTCTGTGGGAATACGTCGCCATCTACTGACAATCATATGAAATGACAATTTAGCTGAGGTACATAATATCCTTCTGTAGGAGATAGCTAAACCACTTAGTATATGTATTAATTCATGAATATATTTTCACCCTCCAAAAAAGCTTTGTTAATGCTCAGTACTGTACCTTGACATTATCTTGGATTATCTTTGCAGAATCTAGGATTTACCTTCTGTAATAGTTCAAGCTTGCCCTTGTAGGCTGAGGTTTTGCCATAGGCGTACAATTTTCAAATCTTCTCGGATCTCCACAATTGTTTAGGGGGCAGGGGTCAATTTAGGATAGGGTGTCTGTATGAGCTTGTTGTCAATTTCACAGTTATCTACCGCAATGTAATCACCAGGGGGCGCTGAAGGCCTGAGTTATAGAGTGGCCTATAATAAATTGTGCTGGCCAAAGGCCTATGACAACAGTGAGCTTCAGGTGGATCAGATGGATCCTTTCCCCCTGTCAGGGAATAAGTCAACACAGACAAAACATTCACTGGGAAGGGTCTAATAATAGGGACTACACTCAGAGATGAGCATACTCTCACAGGGCAAAATTCTAATATGAGAGACACATATGCAAAACTTGGATTTTTGTGCAAATGTAAGACCTTGTCCCTATCCCTAAGCCTTATTTCTCCTCTCCGTGTGGACAGTGGATCTGAAAGGACTGCCATTTGGCCATTCGGCAAACACTCCCCTGAGTCAGATATGTCTGGAGTACGTATTGTGGATGTAACCCTACATGCAGTAGGGGGAGAATTATAGAAGTGATTGACATGCCTGGTAGCCTATGATGTGAATACAGTGATTGACAGGGCTGGGTGGAAATGGAAGAGGGCCTTGAGGGTGCAAGAACAATGCCTGGAAGGAGTCCAAGCTGTCTGTGTTAGTGGAGGAACGCAATGCCCATGGCATTGTTGCCCCTGGAGACCTTGACTCCTCGCTGCTCCCTCTGCTTGGAGAAGCACCCAACATGGACACAACCCTCCATTGGCCCTCCATGAATATCCTCATCCTGGTCCACACAATGGCATGCCAGGGGCCACAGCAATAGGACATTCTCCACGGTCTCCAAAGTCTCCCCAAACCCATTCGTTATACGAGCAAATGTTATTTTACTGTACACACACACACACACACCTATCACTCAGCTAAAACAGGCCTCTCTACAAGGTTGGTCAGCTGTGGAGATGAGTTACTGCTGTCTGACACAACAATGGTCACCTGTTTTCCACACAAACATATAAAGTGCCGCCAGCACAACAGCAATCCATTTCTGTACAACTGAGGTCAATAGGAGCTATTTTCTCGCTTGACCGTTCAATTTGAAGGGCTTATGTTTCTATCAAGAATCTGGTGTTTAGCTTATACAACCCAGACACATCTGTGCTGCCAATAGTGACTTACTTTAGTCCCAAAATATTATTTCAGAAACAAATTTTGAGCTGTGAGCACAACTGATTTGGTTGACAAAAGTGATATATCTTGAGAGTGCAGCTGACTTGAGCTGTGTCAATGTTATTTCCTGTAGTCATCGCTGTAGTGGTTGCTCAATGAATTGTTCAACTCCCTAAATAAATATCTTAGGGGTTGATTATAACGTTTAATTGTGAGACAATGCAACAGTTTAGTGTTCAACAATGCCTGCAATGACCTCAGTGCCCTTATCCAATCCAGTCATGGTGTCCAACCCTCCTATTAGTGAAAAGCCCCACCACAGCTGTTCAAAGTCTCTCCTTCCACACAAACTAGACAAGGGCATCAATTCATTACCGTGGTAATCTAGCGGATTGAGACGCGGCGTTGCACGCGTCCTAACTAAACTCTTCGAAAAAAAGGTGCTATCTAGGAGAACCCTTTCAAGAACCCTTTTTGGTTCCAAGTAAGAACCCTTTTGGGTTCCATGTAGAAGCCTTTCCTCAGAGGGTTCTACATGGAACCCAAAATAGTTCTACCTGTAACCACAAAGGGTTCTCCTATGGGGACAGCCGAATAACCCTTTTGGAACCATTTTTTCTAAGAGTGTACAGGACCTGTGAAGTCTGAGGCATTGTCACATACTCACAACTACTCATACCCCACCTCCTTGAGGATACGTGCCGGATTTGAACTTCTGACCGTGGCCCCTGCTTCTAAGATAGGGTGTCACATAAACAGTTCAGAGCCACAGCACCCCTACACGGGTCAATTACAACGGGTGGCTGTGGGCGGTGGGTGTTAGTCCTCTATATGGCTGGCATGCCTAGGGTAATGTCCCCCCATTGTCTAAACATAGCGCAGGTGGGCAGAGGAGCCAAGTGTTTCGCTATATAAGTAACCAGGGTCACTTTTTAGTGTTCTCTCAAGAGTAAGGGAACAACTGAGAAACTCCTAACACAATGGTAAGAATGACACGTCCTTCACTCTCTCCTCTCTACTTGTCTTCATCTTCACCTTGGGGTTAAATAAGTGTCTCACTTCTATGGTGTCTAGGATGCTGAGAGTTCTTGGAGTAGCTAAGCTTACTTCAGAAGTAGACAGCTGTTAATGTTTTAAATGCATTTATTCAAACTCTATTTAGTGAGGTAGTTAAGAAGAGAACAGTCTTGTATAATTGATAACAGCTGTGGTAAATTGACAGAGTGCATGTCTTGACAATTGTAATTAAAATCCAAAACTGTAGTGATGGGGGAGCTTGATTGCATACCAAACATGTTTGAATGCTAAGAAAATTATTTTCTTGGAAGTTTACTAAGCACTATGATTACTAGGCCTAGGCCTTTTTAAAGTGTTAATCACTTTTTTCGGTGCAGACTCCATTGATTGCAACACCTGACCTCTACTACAGTGTTGTAAATGTTTGTGACTGTGGCTCTTCATTATTAAAAGCTCTGCATATTCTAAAAGTTATACGTTTAATTAGAGATATTAATAGCCATGTAGTTTTGTGACTGCATGCTGTGCTCTGTAGTTCAATGTTAGATGTTCATAGTTTTGGTTGTGTATTTGAAATGAAAAAAAATTCAGTAAATTATGACTTATCATTACTCACTATTATTACTTATCATGAAATATAACAGTAATTATATTATTACTGTTATATTACTGTTATATTACATGATACTGTCAATACTTCAAAATGTCAGTGTATGCAATCTGTATCAAAATGTATGCAAGCTGTTGTTATTCATCATAACCTCAAAGTAATGGTAATTTTCCTGTGTACAGATGTAGGATCTTATTTTGATCAGCCTGTTGCAGGATAACTTTACATTGCAGTACATTTAGTGTATTTGAGGTTTGAAAAGGCTCCTGATGTTCGGAATTTCCACTTTGAAATGTTTGACTTGATTTCCCTTTACGAAAAATGTATAAACCCCAACAAAAATGTCCATTAATTATAATCCACATACTGTAATAATTCACAATTCCTGTTGCTGCAAAATTTATTTTCCTGCTGTAGCATACTGGCTCAAATTAAAATCCTACATCTGTATCTCAGGCACCCAAAAAGGCAAAGAAGAAGGCAGCAGAGGCCAGCTCCAATGTGTTCTCCATGTTTGAGCAAGCCCAGATCCAGGAGTTCAAGGAGGCTTTCACCATCATGGACCAGAACAGAGACGGTTTCATTGACAAGAGTGACCTGAGGGACACCTTCTGTGCTCTGGGTGAGCTAAGGCAAATGCTAGTAACTCCTCTGGAGAATGACCCTTTGCAGTATTAAAGGGGTGGCGCGGTTATCTTCCTTGGAGAAGTAGTTACATAAGGGATAATCAACAAGGGCTATGCGTTCTATGGAGAATAATGAACACCTTCCACGACACGCTAGCGGAGTTGCATTATTTTCCAGAGAACGCATAGAGCCCCGAGTTGATCATCCCATTTATACTATGGCTATAATTTAACACATTTGGCTCTAGAAATGTGTTAATTTGCTGGATGAAATGTGTTCGACACCCACTGAAGTAGCTAGCAAATTTACTAGACAGCTACAGTAGTTGCCTTGGTAACCAAACATACTTGCTAATTTAGCTAACCAAACCATCAGTCCTAGCTTGCTTTTATTAAAATCGAATTCAACAATGTAAATTATGTTTCAATTCTACTTTTGCTTTCAAAAGGAGCTCAAACAGAACATGTAAGAATGAACTATAGCTATTTAATTCTAGACTGCTGATAGCTACCATGCATTATTGAAGCAATAAGGGCCAAGGAGGTGCACTAAGGGGTGTTCTTTTGCACGAGGCAACGTGCAGTCTGGTATATTGGCCATATTAAGTACCACAAACCCCCGCGTTGCATCGTGCCTAAGAACAGCCCTTAGCTGTGGTATATTGGCCATATACCACACCTCCTCTGGCCTTGTTGCTTAATCTTGAATGCTGATTGATTAAAACCGCATTCCAGCTGGTGTCTATTCCACAAGTTACCACTGGCTAAATCTATGACATTAAAATGCCTATTTACTCTGTTCAATCTGACTGCGCAATCCACTGTCTCATCAGCCCAGCCAAGCAATTTACAAACTTGATCTCCACTATAAAAAGCATCCAGACATTATCTCACATTTCTTTTAGACTAACATTTAGTTTTCAACAGCGGAGATTTGTATAAACCTTGCTGTCTGTCACTCCAACGTTTGCAACATTGTTTCAATATTCAAATTCGATCTCCAACTGTCCCATAGTAATGACCGTGTCGGGAGTCGGGACGAGACAGACAGGCAGCGTTTCTTAGCCAGTCGAAATCATGAATCGGCGGTCATCCTTTTTATGGATATATACAAAGAAACGTCAATTGAAAAAAGGTAAAACGAAACAAAGTGCAGCTAGTTTGCAGCTTCAGTTTGAAGTGATTGTGTTAGCTGTGTTGTTGGCTAGCTCCTCTGAACAACAGTGTCCTGACGAGTGAGAAAATGTTCTATGCCAGGTGAAATCGCACCTCATTAGCTCATTGTTATGGATGTATCCAAATAAATGTCACTAAAAAACAGCTTAAACAAATGCAACTACTTTGCTGTTATTCTGGCTGCACTTTTTGACGTGACTGTAAGTTCGCCGTAGTTGGCTAGCTAGCAAGTAAGGGATAAGAACGTTGCCAGCCAGTATGGCAATGGAACATTTAGAATGAATGACTGGGTCGCGTCTCTGGCAACCGAACCGATAGAACGAACAACCAGCCGGCTAGGGTAGCAACCCTAGATTTGTGTCAGGACTATATCTTGTGGAAGGATGAAATAGTATGAATACATTCATCTAAATAACGTTTTTAATGAATATGTTGTTGACCCGTTGTATAAAAGTGATAATGCCCTCGAAGCCGGTGTTTGGAGGATATATTGGTATGGTTTGCTAACAACACCCGTGCCAATTTATCCTCCAAAAACCGGCTTTGTGGGCAGTATCACTTAATTATAAACTGGTTATCAGCATAATTATACCAGTAAATACATTTTTTTGTCATACCCATGGTATATGGTCTGATATACCACATCTTTCAGCCAATCAGCATTCAGGGCTCAAACCACCCAGTTTTTATAAAGGGAAATAATGCACTCTAGAATGCCCTTTAAACCAATCAGAAAAAATTCAACAATGACATGGTATAAAGTAGTTTAACACACCCTCTCTCCTCCAGCTATCTCCAATGAGACTGTAATGATTGCTTCACAAAACACAAAAATTGATTTAGAGAATGACTGATCCAAACAACCATCTCTGACCATAAGACCTGTGCTGCTGTACTTTCCCACTTTCCCCACCTGGTCATGTGAGTGATCCCACTGAACTCTGACCTGTATCTCTTCCTGTCCTGTGTGTCTCTGCAGGCCGTCTCAATGTGGGTAATGATGAGCTGGACGAGATGCTGAAGATGGCCCCTGGACCCATCAACTTCACCATCTTCCTCTCCATGTTCGGCGAGAAGTTGAAAGGTCAGGTGACACCCTTGTATGGCCGACTAGGGCTTGCACATGTCATAGATGGTGCATGACATGTAAACGGAAGCATTATGGCTAGTTATTGCTTTACAACAATCATATATTCAGACAGAAATTAAGAACTAGAATTATAATGAGGCAAATTACTACAGTATTTTCCTCAGTGACATTTTTCCACGGTGCACTGTTTAGACAGACCATCTGTATGTCTGAAACATGTATCTTCTCTCAGGTACTGATCCTGAGGAGACCATTATTAACGCCTTCAAGATCTTCGACCCTGAGGGACAGGGAGTCCTCAAGGGAGAAGAGTAAGGACTTTATGAACTCTAATACCATCAAACATTAAAACAGTACCTGTAGCTCTTTCCCCTGGGTATGCAGTACAGTCAGTAATAATCAAATTCCTAAAATGATCTAATTAGTCGCTTTAGGAATTATTCAATAAGGGCTTGATCCCGACTTAGGAATTTATGCCTTTCCTACGCATTTTTCAGTATTTGGTATTCAGACTTACCTTATTCAGTCGCATAACGCGCTCTGTAGGTGTGGTTACCTTGCGCGCTCTGAAAAAACGTATTAAACTGCTGAAAACCCGTCCACTTGCTGGCCAACAGAGTTTTCATTCAAAAGGGTTTTCAGTACATTTATCTTAAGCCATCCCTTTAAATACGGTGTACCTTTAATTAGAATTTTGGCGACAGACTCAATAGAATACATTGAGAGAACTGGGTTAGAATATAGGGATCAATAAAATAAATCCATCTATGCATATTTGTCTCAGTTTCCACGGCAACAGGTAGATTTAAAAATACTCTGATCTTGTAGATTATTTAGGCACATTTTTGGGTTAGGAACGTATGTATGAATATGTTTTTATTTTTTTTTACTGTTTGGAGAGCCTTTATGCTCTAAATATATTGATGAATAAAAAATACAGTGGTTTGATTTATCCTGAAAGTTGTCATATTCAAATTCAATCCATAAAATATTGGAAGGTGGAAAAAAATGTACAATAGGGGTTGAACAATAATCCTATGAATCTACCCTAATTCTCATTAATCATGGAACTGTATGACAATGGTCCAGTCATCATGAACAGTGCGCCAGGCTCCAGGTTTAACCTGCTACGTGTGGTCTGAGTTCCATAATGATTCAAATAGGCTACATGTCCCAAATTATTGCACAACGTTAGCCTAATATGATCCACTAATGCTAGCGACCCTCAGGAATAACTTACAAGATGGCCGTGACAGAGGAAAGAAAGGTAAACGTAATGGAATGGAATGATGCAAAATTTCATCCACGCAGATTATGAGGGCACACAATTAAAATTCGGAATAACGGCACAGCTATTTATATCCTATTTCATTGTGGAAATGGGCCGCAATAGCCTACATGTCATGTTGATCTGATTTTCAGTTTGCTTCCATATGGCTGGTTTCACATTCGTCTCCAGAGATCATAAGGAAAAATCATCTAAAACAATTGCTATATGTATTTACAATCCGCTGTTCCAAACGGATTACACATTTACCTAGCTCTTATCAAAAGCTCTTATCAAGTTGTAAATTACAGTGCATGGAGAATGGTGTTATTTATATTGGAAAAAAATAAGTAGACGCTTTTTCCACTTAGAACCGGTATGTTCGCTAGACCTTATTCATGGTTTCCTCTTGTGTAAAGTTGGTGTAATTATGAGGGAATTAAGTCAAGGTCAGAATACAGAGTATCTGTAGACACACCTCCGCCACACCTTCATTTATTCGAGCTCCACCTCAAACGAATAGTGTGTGAATAGCATGCTTTTCTCATGCTTAAGTTCAAGGTCAGAATACGCATAGAGAGAAAAGCGCATAGAAAGGTAATTACGTTCCATTTACACATGCTTAACTCGGGTCTGAATCGGGGCCTACAGATGTAGGATCTTAATTTGATCACTCTTTTGTTTCTTGAGAATTTGCACACTTGTAGTGTATTCTAGGTTTAAAAAGTTTTGTAATTTCCACTTTAAAATGTCACTTGATTTGCCCTAATGAAAAATGTATCAACCCCTACAAAAAATGTCCATTAATTATAATCCAGATAATAATTCAAATGTCCTGTTGCTGCAGGATTATTTTCCTGCTGTAGCAAACTGGCTTAAATTAAGATCCTACATCTGTAAGTCATTAGCTACACTCTTAGAAAAAAGGGTTCCAAAAGGGTTCTTTGGCTGTCCCCATAGGAGAACCCTTTTTGGTTCCAGGTAGAACCCTTTTTGGTTTCAGGTAGAACCCTTTTGGGTTCCATGTAAAACCCTTTGTGGAAAGGGTTCTACATGGAACCCAAAAGGGTTCTTCAAAGGGTTCTCCTATGGGGACAGCCAAAGCACCTTTTATTCTAAGAGTGTACTACAGTAATCTATTGAACCTCTCTTTTGTGATTTCTGATAATTATCCATCAATGATAGCTTCAGTAGTTTCATAGTCATGGATTCTTGTAGAACAATGAGACCTTTTCTTGTTGAATGTTGCATATGTTTTAGGAAATAATTAAGGAAGAAAGTGTAACTTCTTGGGGTCAACTCTGAGAAAAGAACTCCCTGTCACGGTTGATGTGCTGTACCTAACGAGTCATCGTTTTCCCTTCCAGTATCAAATATTACATCATGTCTCAGGCGGACAAGTTCACCGAAGCTGAGGTAATGTCCTTCTCTCAGGTTTCTGAGGCTCAGTGGGATTTGGGTTTGGAATCAGGTCAACCTTTTTTGGTTGACTCATATCTCATTTCCTGTCAGAGTCCCATCCATCACACAGGTCAATTTCATAGACTACATCTCTAACCCATTTATCACTGACCCTGAGCCCCATCAGCACCCAGTAACGCTATGGAACAAATGCTTCCCGCAGACCACTCCTCACAAAAGAGATCCTGTGTTTCATCACAGACCGTGAATCTGATCAGAGCCCCATCCCAATTCAGCTCAAAGTGCAAAAGGGCTAACTTAATGTATTGTTTCAATCCATGACCTAGCGTGACCTTTGTGTGCTTTACCCTTCCAGGTTGAAGACATGTTCACAAACTTCCCCCTGGACGTCGCCGGCAATCTGGACTACAAGAACCTGTGCTACGTTATCACCCACGGAGAGGAAAAGGAGGCGGAGTAAAGGAGCCAATCACAACCTTCAAATCACCTGACCAATCACTTCTGACAGCCAACTACACATCATCACCCTGTACACATGACCCGTGTCCTTTTCCACATCTCACCATTCTGACATTCAAAACGTAATAAAAAGGACTATGGTGTGTGAACAAGGCATTGTCATTTGAACTCCAAGATGACAGTGTTGAAAGTGAAGAGTTGACTGGGGTCAGAGGTAATGCTTAACAATGTATTCTATGCGAGGTGGGAATTTCCCTTTGCATATTTCAGACACCTTGAAGTTGCAGCGGTTCACAGAAGTTAAGTGAAGAAGAAGAGTGCAATAGGGATATACATAAAACACCATTCTTCAGGTTGCCCTTACACAATAGGAGTTTGGTGACTGATATGTCTAGATTCAGATTCATAGGAATTCGAGACTCAGATAAGACGAGCAATGAGCCAGAGTACATTACATTGTGCATGTAAAATACCACAAGTTATACTGAAGATCAACAAAAGACAGGTTCTTATATCATTTATATCTAATCAAAAATAGGGTACAATTAGAAATAAAAAATGTTAAGGCTAAAATCTTCTCATTTATGTGTCCTAAAATAGGCTACATTTACAATTCCATATTTATACTTTGCATTACATTCCAATCTGTACACTAGAGCCGTATCAATGGTGCAGAAAAAAACTAAGACAAAAATCCCAATCAGTCAAAATTATAGTGAATTTTATGAAAACATCTTTCTTCAAAATACTGTGCCAAAATCAAACGAAAACAAAAAACATCTACTTTAAAAAAGGGAACGTACTGTGAAACTGAACCGTTCTCCACAAAGATTAAGAAAAACTGAAAAACAGAAATATGAAGTAATGAGTCAGGAAATTGTCAGAGACATGCTGTAGGGAAAGACATAACAGTTGAGCTGCAATAATAAACTGGTTACACGCTCTGCAAATGAGTTGGCAAGGACTCCACACCCAATATAACAACGGTCGTATGAGAGCTTCCAACACACAACCACATTCCATCTCCAATCCAACAGAGGTTAATTCTATTCAACCTATTTATAAATGTGGTTTTCAACAGATGCATAAAAACCATTATGTAATGTAAAAATTTGAGTTAATAATAACTCCAGACTGAAAGAAAGATAAAAGATGGAGCTAAAAGTATGAGCAACAGGTCAAACTTTATTTTACAGTTGGCTATTCAACAGTTTCACCTGCTTCACCAGCCTACTTGTTGAAACAGGACTGCAAAGCAAGAGCGCTACCTAGTGCTACCACAGTTCATGTTACCTCAAACCATGTGAGGTGATGTAATCTGATATCAACATGCATGTCAATCTGCTCCAATGATATGCAACAGAGTGGCAGATACAATATCCCCTACTGCATCGAATACAGAATCATTACCATAAATATAAAACCTAAACAAAACCACATTATTTCCCTGTTGTGTTCAAATCAAATTCAAACCATCAAAAACAGAAAACAAATCTTCACAAATCTTGTAAAAAACAAACAATACAGATATTATCCAAACTCAGTCATGATATTCTTACTGAATACAGATAAAACTGTAATATATTCAGCCCACTGGCTAAACTATCGCCTTGTACACTTGGTACGTCCTACGGTTCCCAACAGGAGTATGTCATTGAGAATATGCACATATTGAGGCCAGTACCAGCCCCAAAGTTACACAATTACATTGAAATAAAATGACTACGATAATGACAACAGTACTAAAAGTCAATGTAACATTATAAACAGGCCAAATTCAAGGATCTGAGTAAGAGACGGGGTAATTTTGTGGACACTAGGACGTCCAAATCCCAGATTGATAGAATTCTGTGCTTCCATGAGGAATGACTGGTCATCCACTCTGGCCCAGAGAACACGGTACTTCTATTTCAATCTCTTACCCAATCACTGTTCATATACAAACCATGCTCTAAACCCCTTGGCAGGACCATCTAATTGCCCCTCCTCCTCACTCTTTCCTCTCCAATCAGCTTTCGGTCTCCTGTGGTGAGAGAGTGGAGCAGGGTATTGGGTCCTGCCCTTTTGTTTTTAAACATGGGCACCAGGTCTGACAGGATGTCCAGGCCAGAACCGGGTTCTAGTGGGTTCTCTGACAAATGACCAAAGAGAGAGAGAGAGGGAGGAAAGGATTGGGGATAGAGACAGAGGGAGATACATTTAATCTCACTCTCACAAGCAGGACTCTCCAATACAACATAACTTGTCACTGACAGACACAGTGATTGCTTGGAATTGGACATAGTATATCCCTCTAACAACCCTTATTCCTAGAGACCCTGTCGTTTTCTGAGTAAGGGTGTGTGTCTCTCACCGTGAATGCCGATCATGTGCTCCAGAATGAGAACCCTCTCAGCCAGGATCTTCAGAGCCTCTCTCAGCTGCTGCACCCCCTCCCCCTGGACAGAACCACATCACTGCATCAAGTTCAGCTATCAAGCTATCAGCTTCCATCAGGAACTATATGTTAAGGTCTATTCATTTATTCAAATCAAATCAAATTGTATTTGTCACACGCGCCGAATACAACAGGTGTAGACCTTACAGTGAAATGCTTACTTACAAGCCCTTAACCTAACAATGCAGTTTTAAGAAAAATAAGTGGTAAGTAAAAAATAGATAAGGAAAAAATAATTAAATAGCAGCAGTAAAATAACAGCAGCGAGGCTATATACAAGGGGTACCGGTACAGAGTCAATGTGCGAGGGCACAGGTTAGTCGAGGTAATTGAGGTAATATGTACATGTAGGTAGAGTTAAATTGACTATGCATAGATAATAAACAGAGAGTAGCAGCAGCGTAAAAGAGCGGGTGGGGGAACAATGCAAATAGTCCAGGTAGCCATTTGATTAGCTGTTCAGGAGTCTTATGGCTTGGGGGTAGAAGCTGTTAAGAAGCCTTGTGGACCTAGATTTGGCGCTCCGGTACCGCTTGCCGTGCGGTAGCAGAGAGAACAGTCTATGGCTAGGGTGACTGAAGTCTTTGACAATTTTTAGGGCCTTCCTCTGACACCGCCTGGTATAGAGGTCCTGGATGGCAGGAAGCTTGGCCCCAGTGATGTACTGGGCCGTACGCGCTACCCTCTGTAGTGCCTTGCATTCGGAGGCCGAGCAGTTGCCATACCAGGCATTGATGCAACCAGTCAGGATGCTCTCGATGGTGCAGCCGTAGAACATTTTGAGGATCTGAGGACCCATGCCAAATCTTTTCAGTCTCCTGAGGGGGAATAGGCTTTGTCATACCCTCTTAACGGCTGTATTGGTGTGTTCGGACCATGATAGTTTGTTGGTGATGTGGACACCAAGGAACTTGAAGCTCTCAACCTGCTCCACTACAGTCCCGTCGATGAGAATGGGGGCGTGCTCGGTCCTCTTTTTCCTGTAGTCCACAATCATCTCCTTTGTCTTGATCACGTTGAGGGAGAGGTTGTTACCCTGGCACCACACGGCCAGTACTCTGACCTCCTCCCTATAGGCCAGGGTTCTTCAATTCCGGTCCTGGAGGGCCGAAACACCTCTGTTTTTCATCCTCTCCTTCTAATCAGGGGCTAATTCAGACCTGGGACACCAGGTGAGTGCAATTAACTACCAGGTAGAAATAAAAAACAGAAGTGTTTCGGCCCTCCAGGACCGGAATTGAAGAACCCTGCTATAGGCTGTCTCATCGTTTTCGGTGATCAGGCCTACCACTGTTGTGTCGTCTGCAAACTTAATGATGGTGTTGGAGTCGTGCCTGGCCATGCAGTCATGGGTGAACAGGGAGTACAGGAGGGGACTGAGCACGCATCCCTGAGGGGCCCCCGTGTTGAGGATCAGCGTGGCAGATGTGTTGTTACCTACCCTTACCACCTGGGGGCGGCCTGTCAGGAAATCCAGGATCCAGTTGCAGAGGGAGGTGTTAAGTCCCAGGGTCCTTAGCTTAGTGATGAGCTTTGAGGGCACTATGGTGTTGAACACTGAGCTGTAGTCAATGAATAGCATTCTCACGTAGGTGTTCCTTTTGTACAGGTGGGAAAGGGCAGTGTGGAGTGCAATAGAGATTGCATCATCTGTGGATCTGTTGGGGCGGTATGCAAATTGAGTGGGTCTAGGGTTTCTGGGATAATGGTGTTGATGTGAGCCATGACCAGCCTTTCAAAACACTTCATGGCTACAGACGTGAGTGCTACAGGTCGATAGTCATTTAGGCAGGTTACCTTAGTGTTCTTGGGCACAGGGACTATGGCGTCTGCCTGAAACATGTTGGTATTACAGACTCAGTCAGGGACAGGTTGAAAATGTCAGTGAAGACACTTGCCAGATGGTCAGCGCATGCTCTGAGTACATGTCCTGGTAATCCATCTGGCCCTGCGGCCTTGTTAATGTTGATCTGTTTAAAGGTCTTACTCACATCGGATACGGAGAGCGTGATCACACAGTCGTCCGGAACAGCTGATGCTCTCATGCATGCTTCAGTGTTGCTTGCCTCGAAGCGAGCATAGAAGTAATTTATCTCATCTGGTAGGCTCGTGTCACTGGGCAGCTCGCGGCTGTGCTTCCCTTTGTAGTCTGTAATAGTTTGCAAGCCCTGCCACATCCGATGAGCGTCGGAGCCGGTGTAGTACGATTCAATCTTAATCCTGTATTGACGCTTTGCCTGTTTGATGGTTCGTCGGAGGGCATAGCGGGATTTCTTATAAGCGTCCGGGTTAGAGTCCCGCTCCTTGAAAGCGGCAGCTCTACCCTTTAGCTCAGTGCGGATGTTGCCTGTAATCCATGGCTTCTGGTTGGGGTACTCCTCAATGCCATCGGAAGAATCCCGGAACATATTCCAGTCTGTGCTAGAAAAACAGTCCTGTAGCTTAGCATCTGCATCATCTGACCACTTCTTTATTGACCGAGTCACTGCTTCCTGCTTTAGTTTTTGCTTGTAAGCAGGAATCCGGAGGATAGAGTTATGTTCAGATTTGCCAAATGGAGGGCGAGGGAGAGCTTTGTACGCGTCTCTGTGTGTGGAGTAAAGGTGGTCTAGAGTTTATTTTACTCTGGTTGCACATTTAACATGCTTGTAGAAATGAGGTAAAACTGATTTAAGTTTCCCTGCATTAAAGTCCACGGCCACTAGCAGCGCTGCCTCTCGATGAGCGTTTTCCTGTTTGCTTAAGGCCTTATACAGCTCATTGAGTGCGGTCTTAGTGCCAGCATCGGTTTGTGGTGGTAAATAAACAGCTACTAAAAATATAGATGAAAACTCTCCTGGTAAATAGTGTGGTCTACAGCTTATCATGAGATACACTACCTCAGGCAAGCAAAACCTCCAGACTTCCTTAATATTAGATTTTGTGCACCAGCTGTTGTTTACAAATATACACAGACCGCCACCCCTTGTCTTACCAGAGGCAGATGTTCTATCTTGCCGATGCAGCGTATATCCCGCCAGCTGTATGTTATCCATGTCGTCGTTCAGCCACGACTCGGTGAAATGTAAGATATTACAGTTTTTTATGTCCCGTTGGTAGGATATCCGTGATCGTAGTTAGTCTATTTTGTTATCCAATGATTGTTGGCTGATAGGACTGATTGTAGAGGCAGATTACCCACTCGACGTTGGATCCTTACAAGGCACCCCGACCTACATCCCCGATATCTCTGTCTCTTTCTTATGCGAATGACCAGGTTTTGGGCCTTGTCGGGTGTCCTTTGCGTCCGACTCGTTAAAGAAAAAACATTCGTCCAGTACGAGGTGAGTAATCGCAGTCCTGATATCCAGAAGCTCTTTTCGGTCATAAGAGATGGTGGCAGAAACATTATGTACAAAATAAGTTACAAATAACGCGAAAAAACACACACAATAGCACAATTGGTTAGGTGCCCGTAAAACGGCAGACTTCTCCTCCGGCGACATTCTCAATTACAGTACAATTATGGTATACTGTATTACTACTACATACTACTACTGTGCTACTATTATGTCTGCTTTTTCATAAGAGTGAGGTATTGAAGATGTGTCTCTGTGGACTATTAAATCATATAGAGGGAATGTGTAGGGTCACCTCAGCCTGGCTATCTTCTGGCTCACCCTTTGGCCCTGGTACACCCTAAAAACAGCATCACAAATGGAAAAAACACAGGTGGTTGGCAAAGATAACAATTTGTATATATGTTTAAAAGCAGGCATGTTGTATCCTCACTGGCTGGCCATGTTCTCCCCTGAGTCCTGGGGGTCCCTGTGAGGAGACAGAGGCTGTATGAGCGATGTAGACTCATCTCATGTATAGACTGTACATAGAGCATTTCAGAGTGGAATTCCCATCAAATAGAGTAATCTTCATTCACTTTAAAGGCAGCCAAACCTCACCCTTTCACCGGAGTCTCCTTTAGGTCCACGATCCCCAGGCTTGCCTGAGGGACCAACACCAGCCTGGAACACAGAGATAGAATTTCTTGCACTATTCTCCCTTTGACATCAATGTATGATTTACAAGAATAACAAGCACATACAGTGGGTCTTGGAATGATTGGATCCTTTGATAAAGATGAGATACTAATAAAATTGCTCAGAGAAAGAGATTGTGTTTAACAAGTAATAAAAAAAAGATAAAAAAGATAGTGGTCAAAATGATTGGATCCTCTGTTTTCAATACTACAGCCACTGGCGTACCAGACATCCCTGTAGCCCTCGCAAGGCAGGGGGGCCCATGAGCTCTGGGGGCCCATGCACCTGTCATCAATGTCTATTTTTATTTAATAAATCATTTTGACAGTAACCCTCCAAAAAGTAATTCATAAACCTTTCTAATTTCCATATGTACTAGGAAGTGAATGAAAAAGTGCTTCAGGCCTTGAAAAATAAAAAACGTAATTATTTAAAGTAAGGGGATGTTGGTGAACAAATGCCGTGGTCAAGGCTACAATGGTGCCAGTGCAATGAGTGGAGCTTATTCAGGTGTTCAAAAGCGCATATCAGGCCGAGAGCCTAATTATTTGTAGGTAGTTTTAGTTGCAATAGTCTATTTAAGACTTGAGACAATTGAGACATGGATTGTGTATGTGTGCCACTCAGAGGGTGAATGGGCAAGACAAAATATTTAAGTGCCTTTGAACGGGGTACGATAGTAGGTGCCAGGCACACTGGTTTAAGTGTGTCAAGAACTGCAATGCTGCTGGGTTTTTCACGCTCAACAGTTTCCCGTGTGTATAAAGAATGGTCCACCACCCAAAGGACATCCAGCCAACTTGACACAATTGTGGGAAGCATTGGAGTCAACATGGGCCAGCATCCCTGTGGAATGTTTTCGACACCTTGTAGAGTCCATTCCCTGACGAATTGAGGCTGTTCTGAGGGCAAAGGGGTTACAACTCAATATTAGGAAGGTGTTCCTAATGGTTTGTACACTCAGTGTATAATGCACAATGTCTCAGGAAAGACTGTCTGGGTTGGCAGACTGGTCTCATGGACTAGACGTAACATAGTAAATGTAAATCCGGGACACTGAAATTAGTATTATATGTTACGTTTGGTTATATAAGATAGAAGGTCACAACGCAAAAACGAAAGGAGGGTGGTTGATCGGGGTGGATGGGTGGGCGTATAATGCGAACGTCTAGCAACCCAAAGGTTGCGTGTTCCAATCTCATCACAGACAACTTTAGCATTTTAGCTAATTAGCAACTTTGCAACTAGTTACTACTTTGCAATAACCAGGAAGCTGAAACTTGGCCGCAAGTGAATCTTCCAGCAAGACAATAATCCCAAGCACACATCAAAATCCACAAAGAAATTCTTTATTGACTACTAAATAGAATGTTGCAATGGCCATCTCAGTCTTCGGACTTGAACCCCATTAAAAACCTGTGGTTTGAGTTGAAGAGGGCAGTCCATAAGTGCAGACGAAGGATATCAAGGATCTGGAAAGATTCTGTATGGAGGAATGGTCTAAGAACCATCCCTTCTCCAATCTCATTATTGTTCTTAGAAATAGGCTCAGTGTTGTTATCCTCGCAAGGGGAGGGTGCTGGAGTACTGAAAACAGGGAATACAATGTCAAGGCGTCAGTGTAATGCGGTAGGCGAAGTCAGGCGCAGGACACAGAGCTAATCAGAAGGCGTACTTTACTCGAAGGTAAAAGAAAGAACAACAACCTCCACGCAGGGAGGGAACAAACCCGCACACTAACGACAGCCGAAACATGAACAAACACACACAACACACAGTGTGAGACAGAGGGTTAAATAGGGAAGACATAACTACATAATGGGAAACAGGTGTGACCAATAAAGAAAAAACAAGTCAAACATAGATACATGGATCGGTAGCAGCTAGTACTCCGGTGACGACGAACGCCGAAGCCTGCCCGAGCAAGGAGGAGGGGCAGCCTCGGCTGAATCCGTGACATACAATATTTATTTATGTATTACTTGTTAAACAAAATCTCTTTATCTGAGCAATTGTATTCATATAAAATAATATAATTCTTTAATTTTTTTGAGCATACAAAATAGCTCAGTATTTTGTATTATTTATTCGATAGTCTTTTTTGCTCATCTTTATCAAGGGATCTAATAATTCAGGACCCCACTATCTCAAGTTAGGATTCTGTTGCAGGATGTACATGAAAGTCCAATGTTATACATACGTTTCTCCCTGGGGTACCTGGGATTCCAGCAGGCCCCGTGGGTCCCGGACGGCCTCAGGAGATGGAAAATGGAGATGATAGTTTTCCCAAATATTCTGACAATACCCACTTAAATGTCCCACTTGGTGGCTAGCTGATATGGGGAAGTAGTATTCTAATTTCCCCTAATTAACATTATGACACTATTATCATTATGGCTTAATGGTCATGCCAGCAGGGGTGTGAGTGTTTTTACCTGGGGGTCCAGGGGATCCGGTAGAGCCTGGGGGACCAGTCACAGCTCTCTGGTTGTTCCGTGAATGGAGCGCAGCCTCTTCATCTGTGCCCAAAACAGAAACAGCCATGGGTTAGGTGCAACAGGTGGTCACTGTGCTCTAATTACATAGTACATGTACACTACCGTTCAAAAGTTTGGGGTCACTTAGAAATGTCCTTGTTTTCAAAAGAAAAGCAATTTTTTTGTCCATTAAAATAACATCAAATTGATCAGAAATATAGTGTAGACATTGTTAATGTTGTAAATGGCTATTGTAGCTGGAAACGGCTGATTTTTTATGGAATATCTACATAGGCGTACAGAGTTCCATTATCAGCAACCATCAGTCCTGTGTTCCAATGGCACGTTGTGTTTGCTAATCCAAGTTTATCATTTTAAAAAGGCTAATTGATCATTAGAACACCCTTTTGCAATTATGTTAGCACAGCTGAAAACTGTTGTGCTGATTAAAGAAGCAAAAAAACTGACCTTCTTGAGACTAGTTGAGTATCTGGAGCATCAGCAATTGTGGGTTCGATTACAGGCTGAAAATGGCCAGAAACAAATAACTTTCTTCTGAAACTCGTCAGTATATTCTTGTTCTGAGAAATGAAGGCTATTCCATGTGAGAAATTGCCAAGAAACTGAAGATCTCGTACAACGCTGTGTACTACTCAGGTACACACTGTATTTCTGATCAATTTGATGTTATTTTAATGGACAAAAAAATTATTTCGAAAACAAGGACATTTCTAAGTGACCCCAAACGTTTGAACGGTAGTGTATGTATTGCATGTATGTACTTCGAGTTTGAGTTAAGAGTACTTCCATTATTGACATACTGTAGTTCTGGTGGTATTTTGGGTTGTGAATTATTGTCAAACATTGGAGATGATAGGTTGTCTTGGTTGGTTGTCACTGTGGGTGTGTTGTGAGGTAGCGCCACACCCATCATGGTCATTGGTTGAGGTAGGGAGCAGAAACTCCGAGAGGGATCAACAGGAGGAAACTCCAATATTCTTAAGAGCAGCAATGCCACTGGAACACATTTCTGGTACACTATAGACTTGTCTGAATTAGACTACTTACTGTAGTGAACACACACACCCACACCCACACACAAACACACTTATCACTCAGCTAAAACAGGTCTCTCTCTCTCTACTCTTCCTCCTAACCTCAAACTACCTGCAGCATTGAGGTTTGACTTGAGAACCTCGCCTTGCATTTTATTGAGCAGTTTCTGGCTCCGAGGCGGCCCAGGGTTGCCAGATTCAGGCTGCTGTGCTGACAGGTTACAAATTGGGTCTGATTTACAGCAGGCAGACTGCAGCCAGAGCCCAGGCTTAAACAAAGCCAGCCCACCACAATAATTAAATACAGCTTTCCATAGACATCCGAGTGGGAGCATTTTGCCCTCTGCTGGTCAAAACTGTGAAATGCCTCAGATGGAGGTCAATTGAACATGTCTAGACTTCTCCAGCTTACAGTTTTACAATCCATAGAGTTTAGCCAAAGTAATCTATTAAATGTTACAGCATGAATTAATAAGGCCTACATATGCTATATGTTTAGTTTCATTTGAGGTCATTGTCTCTCTAACACTCATACATCACTACCACTGACTGCCCTCCTCCCCTAGTGTGCATATTTATTTCTGGTTGGAACCATTCTTCACTATTAGACTTCACATGTCTCACACAGATAATAGTACTACATGAAGAAGGTGATAAGGCCACTCCAGCATTACAGGAACCTTCTAGTCATCCATACAGCAGTCAACTGACATCTGTCTGAACCATCATCATCATCCACTAAGTCAACTTTATGGTTTATGGGGACTCACTATTGATTGATAAGATATGTGTTTTTGCAATGTAGACATTATCAGGTATTTGGATCCAATAAAACCTACATGATAAAACCTATATGACTTTTTTCCATAGTCTTGTGAGGGCTCAGTATATAAGCCCTCATTCTTCCTCTGAGTGTGGCTATATTATAGCTCTTGGCAGACCTTTTGCCTGTTGTCCAATGAGGGTTCTTCGTGTAGGAATAGAGCATTTTAACAGGCAGAGAGTGGGCTGTTCCACTGATGGACTTCCCAGATATGGGCCAATGGGACACCTAGCAGAGGTGAACATGCTAAACTATACTGTACATAGACCCCTATAACTTCATAAATTGTCCGTGAACAGTGGGCTATAGGTGAGACTGCACATTGCATGTCAATTGGCTTTAAGGGGTGTCATGACATATTTTTCTTTCTTCCATAAAATGTTCCCCAGGTGGAAGAGGCTTGTGGAAATAGGTGGGAGAGTAATGTCTCCCAATGTTATCAATTGATTGCTATCAGTAATTTACTATTGAAACAAGGTCTCCAGATATACAATATGTTTGGCAGATGGCCCTGAAATAATGGATATTCCAAAACGTTCTAGATGTCAAACTGTCAATGGCAAGAAAGGGGTCAAAAATCACGATACTCCTGAAACACTTTCAGAATGAAACATCATTCATATAAATCCCTATAGGGCCTATGGCTTACATTTCTTGCTGTAGTTCTTGACTTTAATTTATTGGTGTAGCAGGGATACTCACACTGGCCCAGCTCCCTCAGACCAAACACGTCTCCTCTGTGAGAGAAGGAAGAGGCTGGCCCCGGAGGCCCCGCTGGCCCAGGTACACCTATCTCCCCTGTGGCTCCTCGCTGGCCCTGGGGCCCTGTGGGAACCAGAGCACAGTCAGCCTCAACACAACACTGTCCTTACACACACCATGCACATCTAATGTGTGAACATGCATTTGTGCAAGTGTCAAACTGCTTTGTACCTTAAGTGATAGTGTATGGGTGAGATACAGAGGTGGGGGGAAGACTTATACCTCTGGGTCCCATGGGTCCAGGTTTCCCTGCGAGGCCTGTCTCTCCGGTGCGTCCAGGGGGTCCCGCCACACCTGGGGGTCCAGCTGGCCCTAGGGGGCCTCTGGCTCCTTGGAAAACAAAACTAGTTAACAACTCAGACAGAATCCCACCAGATTCAGACACTTCTTTAAACATTTGGTGCACTTTTCTGAAAATCCATAACATAACAGAGTGAAACAGCTGCCATGTAAAATTATGGAGGAAGAAAAGTGAATAGTTAACCATCTGAGCTTCAGTGAGGTCCTGCTGTAAAGCGTCTCACCAGGTAGGCCGATGGCAGGGGGGAGTGATGAGGGTGGGCTTGGGTGCTCCCACCTCGTTATCTGATGACCCATCTGGGGAGTATCTGAATAGGAGAGGTGGTGGTCCCGCCTCCTCCAGCAACACAATCTGACACAAAATGAAGGAAGATTTGTGTTCAGCCCTGCTGAGATAGGATCTAGATTTTTGAGAATACCAGGCATTTGTGAGGTCTCATTACATTAATGTACTGTATGTAGTACTGTTTTAATGACAGGTTTGGTTGCTGCAAGCTTACCTTGGATTCAAGCATAGTCAGTCTATCATTCATATCAGCATAGCCAGTGCAGTTCATACATTCTAAGGAGAGAGAAAGAAAGAAAGAGATATGGGTAAGTAAGTGATACAGTGTAGCATGTTGCTTCAAATTAGAGATACTAGATTAACTCTCAAATTAGCAGAAACAGGTGAGACTAACACCTTTGTCCTTTCAATCCATCCATACCAATTCACGGTGCATCAATGTGTAATAATGCAATTCCAATAGTAGGGAATATCAGAAAAGACAGGCTTGGTTTTGCATAAGAAGATACACATTTCCTAAACCAGACTAGCGCAAAAGAGAAAACAAACGCACTGTGTTGGCCCAGACTGTGTTGTTGTAAGAGAGAGAGGGTTAATGTAGTGGCTGGGACATTATGAAGTGAGCCAGTCAAAGCATCAGCACATTGCCAAGATGACACAGGATGGATAGACAGCAACCTCCCGGTGCTCAGATGACATATGGGCTGGAGAGAGGGAGCGAGAGTAGGGTGAGAGAGGTGAGAGATGTCGAAAATGACGGAGAGAGAGACAGAAAGAGAAATAGATAGATAGAGGAAGAGTGAAAGAGAGAGACGTCAAGCTTGCCTGGCAGCCTCCCTGACCATCTATCTTTTCTCTTTGCCAGAGAAAAAACCCTTCCCTTCTCCTTTGCCAATTCTACCAACTCCTGGCAAAAGTGTCCTTCTCTGTCAGGCTGCACTGACATTTGGCATCTGCCATGTGTTCAGACGGCACCGCCACTCTGCCCCACTCCAGTGCCCGACAGAGACACCTGCCACGGTCCACCACCTCTGACAGGACAGCCTTACCGCTGTCTGTTGCCAGGTGCCCATCTCTGTGCCAACATGCCATCGGAACATCACGCCATGAAGGGCAGAGAGGAGCCAGGGCCATGCTGTCCTAAAATGCCCTTCATACTGCATTTACATAACATTTCACACAAATTCTCAAAGCACCTTATGTTGTCTGTCTGGCGTAACTCTATGGAACTGGAGTCGGTTTGGATAAAAGCATCTGCTAAATGGCATATATGATTTATTATATTATTATTATATTATATATTATATATTGATTATGCCATGTGGATGTGGTTATTAATAAGTAGAAAGAACATTTCTGGCCTAAAAGTTTTTCCAGTTCTCTGAGTAATGAATGTGACATCAGTATGAAGGTGGTCTAATTCATCAGCTTGTTCTCAGCTCATTAGGTAGGTGTGGTGTGTGCTGGGATTGGGAATCATGGAACATAGCAAGACCTGAGGTGGGATGCCAAAGAGACAGAAAAGGGAATGTGACGACTTCATGAACAGATCAGAAAGAGACCTTAAAACGCATTGTTACACTGTTATAAAATGTGTTTACACTGTTATTTTAAACTTAAATCCAATTGTATAAACTATTTTCTTTAGGAGGTTTAGTTGCTGTCATGTACACAAAACACTGCAGTTCATGAAGGTCGTTCTAAGCATAGGCCTGACGTGCATTGCCTTGATCAACCCCTAGAATATTGTTAATTCCCAATCCTCTCTCCCTGGCTATGTTTTCAATCTTGTAAGAAATATAATTCCCACATACAGTATCAGTAGATTAAGTAGACAAAGGATCTGACCGAGGACTACAGGAAACAGAGGGGCTAGCACGCCCCCATCCACATCGATGGGGCTGTAGTGGAGAGGGTCGAGTGCTTCAAGTTCCTCTGTGTCCACATCACTAAGGAATTAACATGGTCCACACACACCCACACAGTTATGAAGAGGGCACGACAGCGCCTCTTCCCCCTCAGCAGGCTGAAAATATTTGGCATGGGCCCTCAGATCCTCAAAAATGTCTACAGCTGTACCATTGAGAGCATCTTGACTGGCTGCATCACCGGCTGTTACGGCAACTGAAAGGCACCCGACCGCAAGGTGCTACAGAGGGTGGTGAGTATGCCCCAGTACATCACTGGGGCATACCAGGACCTCTATAACAGGCTTTGTCAGAGGAAGGCCCACACAAATTGTCAAAGACTCTAGTCACCCAAGCCATAGACTGTTCACCCATGGCAAGCGGTACCAGTGCACCAAGTCTGGAACCAACAGGACCCTGAACAGTTTCTACCCCCAAGTCATGAGACTGCTAAATAGCTAACAAAATGGCTACCAGGACTACCTGCATTAACCCTTTTTTGCACTAACTCTCTTGCACCCACATACACACACTACATACGCCCACACACACATAACATGCGCACACATGCATACTGACGCCACACACACACACACACACACACACACACACACACACACACACACACAGCTACAGCTAGCTAGCACTGCAGTGCATAAAATGTGGTGAGTAGTTGACTCAAAGGGAGAGAAAAACAATAGTTGAACAGTTTTCAACAAATTAATTTCTTCAAAAATGAATGAGAAGCGAGAGAGAGAGAGAAAGAGAGAGAGAGAGATTTTGTCATTTTTTTCACTTTCAGATTCACTTACCTAGCTAGCAAATGCAGCTGGCTAGTTTAGTTACTCAAACACATGGCTCAAACAGAGGGATGCTATGTTAGCTAGCTGGCTATGACTATCCAACACAACACTGGAACTCTTCCAAGTCAAGGTAAGCTTTTGGTTTTATTAATTTATTGCCACCGGGGCCCGCCTGTGTAACTGCTTACACTGTAACGACACTGCATGATTGTAGCGGGTTTACTAACACTTTAGTTCTATTAGCTATGTTGACTAGGACGTTACTTTAGCTAATATGGGGACAACGATGTAGGCTGTGTGTAATGGTTATGACATGGTTTGGAATGTTTTTCGACTGGTCACATACAGCTGATGTGTTGTTCATTGAAGTCCACAAACGAAGGGAAAGGGTGAGAGGAGGAGAGTGCATAGAGGCGAGAAGGAATACAACGTGGCTGCTATGAAAGTTAACTGTGTTTATGCGTGATCAGGGGTGTATTCATTCTGCCGATTCTGTTGAAAAACGTTTCTCAAACAGAAGCAAACGAAACAGGATTTGAGTCCCTGGCGGCGTAGTGTGTTACTGATGGTAGGCTTTGTTACTTTGGTCCCAGCTCTCTGCAGGTCATTCACTAATACTTATTTTCCACCATAATTTGCAAATAAATTCATTAAAAATCCTACAATGTGATTTTCTGGATTTCTTTTCCTCAATTTGTCTGTCATAGTTGACGTGTACCTATGATGAAAATTACAGGCCTCTCTCATCTTTTTAAGTGGGAGAACTTGCAGAATTGGTGGCTGACTAAATACTTTTTTCCCCCACTGTATGTATGTAGCTACCACAATTACCTTGTACCCCTGCACATCGACTCGGTACTGGTACTCCCTGTATAGGGACAGCAGGTAGGAGCGTTGGGCCAGTAACCGAAAAGTTGTTGCCCCTGAGCAAGGCAGTTAACCCACTGTTCCCTGGGCACCGAAGACGTGGATGTCCATTAAGGCAGCCCTCCGCACCTCTCTGATTCAGAGGGGTTGGGTTAAATGCGGAAGACACATTTCAGTTGAATGCATTGAGTTGTACAACTGACTAGGTATCTCCCTTTATATAGCCATTTTATTTTTACTCATCATTGTTATCCGTTGTTTACTGTGTATTTATTCCTCGTGTCACTATTTTATTTTGATTGTTTTATCTTTATCTTTAACTGTGCATTGTTGGAAAAGGACCCGTAGGTAAGCATTTCTCTGTTAGTCTACACCTGCTGTTTACGAAGCATGCGACAAATAAACATCTATTTGATTTGATAATTTGAAAAGATTTTGATTTGATTAACTAAGAGTGGTTGCACTATGTTCCATTCCATTCACAAATCCCTGGCTACAGAATATGCATTACAAAAAGACAAGAAGAGAATGGACGGTGGTGAACATCCATTGTGTCCACTGTCAATCAAGACAAACTCTGCATTGGGGTCTTTTGTCTGATGAGATACTAAAATAAAGAGAATATTGATTGAAGAGATGCAGGCCATCTGCACAGCATGTGTTAGCAGTGTGTTTGTGTGTCTGTGTGTCTGTGTGTGTGTGTGTGTATGTGTGTTTGTGTGTGCAACCTGGACTCAGGGGTAGACGTAACATAGTACATTTAAATCCGAGATACTCCAATTAGTATGATGTGTTATCCTTCTTATGATATGTATTAATTTGTGGATGTCCAACATCCATTTCATATGATATGTTACGAATTACAATTCTTATGATATGTTACGAATTGCAATTCATACAAAATGTTACGAATTGCAATTTGTACTGTATGTTACGAATTCCAATTTGTTGTGGCTGACGTTAGCTAGGTGGCTAGATGGCTAATGCTAATGTTAGCTAGGTGGCTAATGTTAGCTAGGCTAGGGGTTAGGGATAGGGGTTAAGGTTAGGGCTAAAGTTAGGGTTAAGGTTAGTAGTTATAAAGTTGCTAAAAAGTAGTAAGTAGATGCAAAGTTGCTAATTAGCTAAAATGCTAAAGTTGTCCGTGATGAGATTGGAACATGCAACCTTTGGGTTGCTAGATGTTCGTGTTATAACTTGTCCGTGATGAGATTCGAACACGCAACCTTATATTCCCACCCCGACCAACCACCCTACTTTCGTCTTTGCCTTAAGTAACCTTCTGTCTTATGTAACCATATCAAAGGTAACATATCGTACTAATTTGAGTTTCCCAGATTTACGCTTACTATATTACGTTTAGTCTATGAGAGCAGGCTGTTGTGTGTGTGTGTGGTGGAGCTCCATGGTGGCCTTGGCAGGTTCTCTCAGCAGCCTGTGATCTTGAACAGTAACATGACTAATTCACACACTGCCTCTTGCGTTGATGCACAATCAGGCACTGAAAACACATTTGCACCCCCACCCACCCCCCCCCCCAACCCCCCCCACACACACACACACACACATTCAGATTGCTATATAATGACTGCCAGGAGGCCAATACAGACAGAATTGTGATATTTATCCTGGCATAGGTAGTACTGCAATAACATAAAACAACCTTTTATGGTTACAAAAACATGCTGTTGGTTTTTGTGTGGTTGTCATGACTGTGGAAGGGCATCAAGGTCTGCAGCAGTTGGATACAGAATGGAACCCTTTTTAACTTTGAAAGTCTCTCTTGCTGCATGTCTATTAACAACTCAAGGATTGTCTTCAAATAGCTCAAAATCTGTAAGGTTTGAGTTCCTCCTAAAAATGCCACGGTTTTGGCTTTGGCGTGCCATTAGACTCTCATATAGGTGAGATAAATGACTACCTGAGCATCCTATAGCAGCCATGCTAGAGGAACATCTGTTAAGAAAGTTGTATGCTTCAGTAGCTATACAGTAACCAACACAAGAGTCAGTAAGAAAGGTGATAACAATGCCCCTAAAAGTGGTGACTCACTTGAGGTGAAGGGTTTGATACTGGTATGTACTTTCATTTACATTTTAGTCATTTAGCAGACGCTCTTATCCAGAGCGACTTACAGGAGCAATTAGGGTTAAGTGCCTTGCTTAAGGGCACATCGACAGATTTTTCACCTAGTCGGCTCGGGGATTAGAACCAGCGACCTTTCGGTTACTGGCACAACGCTCTTACCCACTAAGCTACCTTACCCACTAAGCTACCTGCCGACCCGACCTTTCACTGGTAACAACCCAACAAGAGCCATTAGCTTTGCATCAGCTGGTTGATTCAAGGTCTGACACTCATTTGATTTCTTTATATACATATCTAATGTGTCATGAAAGGCACTCGGTGTGATTCACTGTATAACATATTTTAATAGATTATTTTCCAACCAATAAAGGTAAACTTCTACCTTGAGTGATCGTCTACAGTCCACACAGATGGTTAGCTAGACAGTCTGCACAGAAAAGAGACAGGACAGGAGATGCAGTTTCAACAC